TGGCTGTTGGAAATAATGCTGTACTGAACACAGGAGTGCAGATGTGTTGTTGCCAATATACTAATTTCATTTCTTTGAATATGAATCTAGCCCTGTGATTGCTAGAACATGTGGGAGAGCTATCATTAATTTTTTGAGGAACCTCCCTAGTTTTGCATAAAGGTTGTACTAATTGACATTCCCACCAGCACCGTTCAAGGTTCCCTTTCCCCTACATGCTTGCTTGTACTTGCTACCTTTTGTCTTTTGGATAACAGTCATCCTTACTGTGATAATGTGACATCTCCTTATGGTTTGGATTTCAATTTCCCTGTTAGTTAGTGATGTTTACCATTTTTTTTCTGTCATCTGTTCTTCACTTGTGTACCTTCTTTTAAGAAATGTTGATTCAGATCTATTATCTATTTTATTATTTGTGTTATTTTTGTTTTAAGTATTATTTGGAACTTTTTATGCATTCTGGACATTAATCTTTGTTTAATATATACACGGCAAATATTTTCTTCCATTCTTTGTGTTGGGTCTTTACTTTGATGATATTTTCCCCTGAAAACAGGAGCTTTTAGTTCAGTGTAATCAATTTGACTACTTATGGTTTCAATTTGTGCTTTTCAAGTCTCCAGAAAATTCTTGTCCATTTCAATATTTTGAATATTTTTTTTTTCAGTTTTCTTCTGGAAGTTTCATGTTTTGAGGTTTTTGATGTATGTCTTTAATCCGTTTTGAGTTGATTTTTGTAGCTGTTGATAGAGGGCTAGTTTCATTGTTCAGAGTGTGATTGTTCATGTTCTAAGCATTGTTTATTGAAAAGACTTCTCTTCTCCAGTGCATGTCCATTATGGTTTGGATACGTGGGGTTCCCTAAAATCTCATGGGTAAGACAATACAAGAATATTCAGAAGTGAAGTGAGTAGATTATGATAGTGGTCCGCCCCCGTCCTATGCGAGCAGTGGAAATGGGGTTCCCCTTGGTGGAATGGGCAGGCTGAGATATGAAAGCTAAGAGAAATAAAATGATGAAAACCACAGAAAGTAGTTTCAAAAGCAAGGGTAGAACGGGCAAGCTGATCAGGTGGATTGAGTTTCTGGCAGGGAACACACCTGCTTTATTTATATCAGGAAATATCAAAGAGATTCTGTAAAATTTTCTTTTTCTAAGAAAGGTTAAAAGAGGGCAATTCAGTTCCTAAAGGGTAATGCCTGTCTCCAGAGCTACTATGAGGAATCTTCCTAGCAGAGGGGAGAGAATAGGTCACATGCATTGGGCAATCTTTTGCTGTGGGAGAACTCAGGCCTGTCTCTCCTTGGTTTCCATGCAGAGAAGATCCTCATGTATTTCATGGATGGTTTCCCCCAATAGTGTAACCTATCAGTGGATTAATCTACTGATATGGATTAACTGGGTGGTAACTGTATGCAAATATGATATGGAGGAGATAGGTAACTGGGGGTGTGACTTTGGGGTTTATATTTTGTCCCTGGTGAACAAAGCTCTCTGTTTCTGGCTTACGGTGTCCAGCGCTGCTTTCCTTTACCATACCCTTCCACCATGATGTTCTGTCTCACCTTGGGCCCAGAGCTATGGAGTCCATTGTCCAGCAAGACTGGTGCTAAGCTGGGACACAAGTGATCCTCACAGTCCAGACAGCCTTTATGGCTATGTGCCTGACCTATTCTAAGTCTGGCAAGGATCAGGCAAAACTTGAGTGTGACTCCTAAGCGTGTAGGTCTCCAGCTGATGCTAAGGCTGTTCTTAGATTTCATCTTTGAGCTCTGGCTTAGATACAGGGCCTTTTGTTTCTGGCTCATGCTGGTTGTCATTGTAGTGGGCATGGTCCTAAGCTCTACAACAAAGTCTTTTGGTTCCGTTTATTCTCAGATCCTAAGTGAGTAGAAACTTGTTTCCTACATTGATGCCTAAGGTTAGTGGAGGATGATGGAAGTCTCTTTGCAGATTGGATAATGCTGTTCTAGTAGGTATAGATCAAAGTGCTCTACCGAGGACTAGGATTCAACATGGCAGGCTTGATACTGGGGGTGAAGTCTAAGGTCTGGATTTTATTCCTTTTTCCTCTCCCAAGTGAAAGGTAGCTCTTTCCTCACTGCACTATGGGGGAAATTGGGAGAAGGCTACTCTTTCTTTGCTGTCTTCTTTAACTTCCTTTCACTATACTAAAACCAAGCTCCATGTTCCCTCCTGTGGCTTCCTTAGATCTGGTGATGGTAGTTTGTTGCTTCAATATTAATTACAGTTGGTGTGACTCTGAAGTGCAGAACTGGATGGTATTTCTCATTGACTATCTTGCTCCACCTCCCCAATGTTTAAGATATGATTTAAATAATAAGGGGATTTTACTGACCTAAAGAGCTCTGGCAATTGGTACTAGTAGAATTGCAATTTTTTTCTATATTAAACCCTGCTGGGTTTTCTAATGAATATTACATAGGAAAATATTTTTACATATTTACTTCAGTTAATTATGATTTATTTTTATCATAAAAATATACTTTAATAAAAAATATTTAATATTGAGGTATTATTTAAACTGAATCCCTGTTCATTTGCTCTATTATTTATACTTAATTTTGGAGCTTTCGACCCTCCTTTCAATCCTTATCGGTTACCACCAGATTTCTCAGTGACATCATTTACTGTGGGGTCAGAAACACCTGGTCTGGTGGTCTTCACCCTGATCTTCTTGAGGTTTCCTCTAATCAGGCAGTGACAGCCTGCCAGGGGCTTCACTCTATTTATCAGGGTGAGGGGAGATAACTTGTTTGAGGCCATTCGGGAGGGCTCTGTGGGTGTGCCTGTTGAAACTGTAGGTTTGGAGTTTTTAAAATGGAGTTGCGTAGGCTCAGTCCTAAGGCCATCCTAACAAAGTGGAAATTTATTTTTAACACAAACTTCAATTTTGAGCCCATCTTCCACATAAATTTTTTCCTGTGATTATCTCTGAGACACTAAATGGAAACTAAAATACATCACTGCTTATCAAACTAATGCAAACCACAGAATTGGTTTTCACAGACAATCAAGTATTACATACAGTTTTTTTTTCTATTTTTCTTATACTAAATTGCAATGCAGTTTCTGAATCTCTGTTATAAAGTATGAAAATCTGCTGATTCAAATTATTTTAGTAGTTAATAAAATTATATGATCGATCCTGTTTTTTAAATGTTTTATGCTGTGCAGAAGAGAGTCCAAATCCTTGTAAAGTAACTTATAAATTCCATGTCATAGTGAAAAATAGACTAACTTTTAAAATGAAAGAGATACGTTATAAATTGTTAAATGTTAGCATATTGCTCTATGTTTTTTGTTTATCATTTGAGACACAATGAAAGTCCCACCTAGATTTATTTTAGATATAATTTACTGGGTTATGGTTATTCAGACATTTATGTATGTAATTTAAAATAATTTACCTTTTTTTCTATCATAATAGTTATGATTTTCAAAGGAATTAATTTGGTATAACACATAAGTAATTTTAAAATTTATTGTTTCAACATTTAGATAATCTTGCATCCACATAAAAACAATATAAACACTTTACATCTGTCCAACATACACTTCCTAGAAAATTACAATATTTTCTTATATGTTTGTGTCTATGAATAAAAAATAGTTTACCATAAGGTGTATAGTATTGTCGCAATAATCAAAAAAATCAGCAATAAAATACTTAGGAGTGTTTATTCCCACATTAGATTATACATATGCTTTTACAATGCTACTTAATTACTTTACTCCTATTTGATTAGCTCTATAAATAATTTTATTACATGTTGGTGTAACAAAAACAACCAAATAATTTTTATATGATGAAAATAAAATGCAATGTGCATCAAGCAATATAAATAATGAAAGAAATATAGAAGGCTTTACATATTGTTGAGGATGAAGTGTGTCCAGAGAGAAAAAAAAATCCATTGATTAAAACATATCATAGTATACTCTCACTGAAATTACAGTATAGATCATGGTAGTATCTGTGATTATTTCTCACAATTCTGATCATTAAATGCATGCAGCCAAAGAACAGATACTACCAAAAAATGTGACAATATCACATGGAACAAACAAGGGAAGTGGGATATAACGAAAAGGAGAAACAAACCCATTTCATCATTAAGTGTTCAAATTATACAGGAATTAAGCAACAGGGTATACTTTTTAAACTAGAGGTACTCTTTTCATTTAGAGAATAAGGCAATGTGACCATATTTTAGCAAAAACAAGCGATGGAGAATAAAGATAAAGCTGCCTTTAAGGAGGAACATCTGTCCAACCCCTAGAAACTTCTGTGGAAAACTTAAGAAATATATCTTAGTTGGTGTCTTCACTCAAATACACATATAGTCTGGATGAAATAGAATTTGATGCAGTACTTAACAAATTGGGTGTTCAAAAAAAATGTACATTTAATAGACTCTCCTAAGCTCATGTCTGTGAAAAAAGGAACTAAGGAAAACAAAAGAGTCCAAGATTCCCACGTGGAAAAGGAGCATCTGAATACATTCATGTCACTAAATGCTTCAGATTATCCAGTGAGTTAGCTGATACTTGTGGAAGTGCACAACCTAAAATGGAAAGATTGTGCTCACACAAAAAGAGAAATTCACACAAACACACATTGATGCAGGAAAGTTTATCATACTCATTTAGAATAGAATAGAACTATTTCAAATCCTCTTCTGTAAATACAAATCTTTCTTACTCTCCTACAGCATGCGACTCTGCTACCCCATGGATGCTTGAAACTTATTCTACTTCACTCTAGAACTTACTCCATTATTTTGATTACGATTCATCTTTCTCCCTCCAGGAAAGCAAAGACTTGACTTAATTTTTGTTGTTCACTAAAGTGTTTTCAGCTTTTAGAAGTTTATATTCCATGCTGATCTCATTGGTGCTTTCTCTTGTTTCTCCAGGAAAACAGAGCCAGGTCATTTCTAGCCCTCATGTGTAGGACTCCTTTTATCTTTAACTTTTAAGAAATAACATATCTGATCTTTTTCCATGTGCTTTGTAAGGCGTGTTTTACATCTTTATTCCTCAAGCTGTAGATCAAGGGATTCAGCATGGGGATAATCAGAGTGTAAAATATTGAAGTCATTTTATCAGTGTCAAAGGAATGACTGGACTTGGGCTGCACATACATGAATATCAAAGTCCCATAGAACACTGTAACCGCTGTCAGGTGTGATCCACAGGTGGAGAAAGCCTTTCGCCTGCCTTCAGCAGACTTCATCCTGAGAATGGCTAGAAGGATGAGCAGGTAGGACACAAGGACAAACAGAAGAGAGGAAATCAAATCAAAAGCTGCAAAGATCATGATTATTAGCTCAACATCAAGAGTATCTGAGCATAGCAAAGATATCAAGGGAACACAATCACAGTAGAAATGGTTGATGATATTGTAGCCACAGAATGGTAAGGTAAAAATCTTTAAGGTGACTAGAAGAGACACAAATGAGCAGTAGAGATAGGGGATTGTCACCAGGGCATGACAAACCTTTTGTGACATGATGACAGTGTAGAGGAGAGGGTTACAGATGGCCACATAACGGTCATAGGCCATTGCAGAAAGAATAAAAAGTTCACTTCCAATGAAAAAAAGAAAGAAGGTTAGCTGGGTCGCACAAAAGTAATAGGAAATTGTATTTTTATCTGAAACAAAATTCACCAACATTTTGGGGCCCACAGCTGTAGAGTAACCAAGATCGGTGAGAGCCAGGTTTCTGAGAAAGAAGTACATGGGTGTTTGTAGACTGTGGTCCACCTTGGTGAGGATGATCATGCCCAAGTTGCCCAGCACTGTGAACAGGTAGATGATAAGGAAGAGCCCAAACAGTGGAGCCTGCAGATCAGGGCGTGAGGTGATGCCCATCAGAATGAACTCATGCACCAGTGAGAGATTGTGTTTCTCCATCCAGGTTTTGTATAAAGTCTAATCTGGGTAGAGATATCAGAACAGTTAAAAAATTCAGATATCATCATCTGGGATTGTATTATGCAAAGTTGGTATAAATAAGATAAATATATTTTTCAATTTAGAATATTCAAAAACACACATTTATTTGCACTTACAAATATGCATAGATATTGGTAGATGTGAGGTGCTCTACTTTTTTACTCACACAATATTAATCAATATCTAAGAATATTTTGGTTGTTTTGACTGGAGGAAGAACTGCTATTGGCATTTAATATTTAGATGAAATAGTTAAGCTGCGAATTTTATTTTATCCAGTATATAATTTTATTATATCCAGTATCCAATGCAAACTAATATTCACATACAAGATATTTAAATGGTCCAAGATAAGAAACTACGAAAGATAGAAAGAGAGTTAGATGCAGATATATAGTTGTATGAAACAAAAATGAAAAAAAAAACTGTTTGATAAATGGATGATTATTGTACAAGTTTTCTACTTTTTACTTATAAATTACATTCACCCAGTGAAATTGAATAGCTACATTAAAAAATGTTACATGAAACATATGCAAATGCATAATAGTAATCTTTTTGATACTCCTCCAAAATGTACAAAACTACCTATTTCAAAGTATAGTTCTATAAATTCTTAGACTTCAAGATGATGCAGCATAAACTTTTAGTGCATTTGATAGATTTGGGCTGGGTGTATGCATAAATAAAATAGTAAAGAATCTCATTGGAATTTTATTTACAAGAATCAAGGAGAGATATATGTACATAGATATAGACTATATTATACATTAACTTATTTATTACAAATATAATTTTACTTAAATAATTTACCTGCAACTCTAACATCATAAACAAACCAGGTCTGTTCTCACAGTGTAGTTTGGAAGGTTGAAAAATGTTCAAGTGCTTCTATGTGTACTTGGCACCTAAAATAGACTCAAAGATCAGGAACGTATATATTTTTGTTTTTTATATTTATTTTAAAAGTGCTTCTAGTTGCCTACATGAAAGAGGTATCATTTACATATAAATATGCACATTTTTCAGCACAGGGATAGCACTTATTTGTTTGGGATAAAATGAGAAACAGGTCAATTATTACATAATTCATGCAAATTCATCCATTCTCCTTTAATACTATACCTCTCTATTCCATGACAACAGTTAAACAATCAATGTGCTATTATTTTGGATTAATTATATTCTATTTTCCAAATTAATTTAAGGACATTTCAATACATGTTACCTTGATAAAAATTTACTTAAATATTATTTCCCTCAGTGAGAATATTCATTATAATTAAAATATGCATATATGTAATATATCAGACCACTTTTTCAGACCCCCAAAAACAAAACAAGAAACTAAGAAATTCTGAACAACAACAACAAAAAGAAGAGATATCATTTCATTAGTTTTATACAATGAAATCTCATAAAAAATTTACTTTGAGTAAAGATACACACATATTTCTTTTCTTAAGTATTGAGAGTTGAACCCAATGCACTCTACCAACTGAGTTACATCCCAATCATTTTTTAAAATTTTTGTTTCAATTAATTATACATGAGAGTACAATGCATTTATGTACTTTATGTATCATGCATTAATGAATTATGACTTATTTTTCTGATTGTACATGTTGTAGAATCAATGCAGTTATGCAGTCATATATAAACATAGGATAATAATGTTTGTTTCATTCTACTATCCTTCTTATCCCCGTATCATCTCAACCATTTTTAATGTTTGTTTTGAGACAAGGTGTTGCTACATTGCCCAGATTGGCTTCAAACTTGTCATCCTTCTATCTCAGGCTTCAGAGTTTCTCTGATTACAGGCTGTACCACCACACCCAGTAGAAATAATGCATTTTAAAGAAAAGAAGTTTAAGTACCTACCCTTGACCAAATTATGTTATGTGTATATACAAATATGTGACAATATTTGTTAACCATACTGAACCACTAGTTTTAATGGTTAAAATGTTTATATAACTTTTCTAAAATTATATAGTTTATAAGATTTTAATTTTTTATGGCACACAATACCATAAAGACTGAATAAATAAACTAGAGTTGAGATACATATGTATTCTTGGATGTATTTTGAAATCCTCGGCAACAAAGCAACAAGGATTTCTTTCAAATATGACAGAACACATTATGCTGATAAACAACTATATGACCAAATATAATATATTTGATTAACTCTAACAGCCCAGCTATTCAAGAATTTTGTATAGTAGCAGAGAAATGACATTTTAAGATAATATGATTATTATTTATTATCATTTTATTATTATTACTTATGAGAAAATAAGTACCACTGTTTCCTAGATAAAAAAAGAATTAGAATTGACAGAATTTCCATAAAAATAGTGACATCCATGTGTACATGGGCTAAAGCACATAAAATCATGCAATTTTGCAACATATATATAAAGCTGATTACATGTACTTTGCACTGAACACACTTAAAATATTCCTTATATGATTGTGGGTACCTGCTTTCCTACCTTGCTTTTTCCAGATAGCTTCCTCATATTAAAAACTAAAAAAAAAAAGTCAGCTACAGCCTTAAATAATTACCTTCAATAGATGCAATAATAAACAAATTATGTCTTTTTATTGTTTAGGTTTGATTCATAACCATGACATAGCTCTAAATAACTTGCACATAATAAATAAGTATAAATATCCCTTTAAAGTCAAGAAAGATACATGTTTCATTTAACCAGTTTTGGAGTTTAATGGTAAGAACCAGAAAGTCTTTTCATTGTTTAATAATCCTTATTGAATTTTCAAGTTTATTTTTTAAAGTTAGACTCAAAAATATGTGGTCACATCTGAATGCATTTTACTATTATCATTCTTATAAAATTGAGCACTTAGAGTCTCATGATACTAACAAAATGCTTTTTACATCTAAACATGAGGTCAAAATTTTCTTTTCCTTCTAAAGAGATCACAGGTAAATCTCATTCACACATTCAATTACATAATTAAAATCAAACTGAATTTTGAGAGGGTTCCAAAAAATGCTGAGAGCCACTAAGTATGGAAGGACACAAAAATTACTTCTCAGTAATTCTTGCTGTTACAACTTCTCCCTCTACCAAAAAAAGAATAATAATTATTATGTTTTATCTACTGTCACTTTTTTCATTCATTTGATAAAAAATTGAATGTGTTCAAAATTTAGTATTTTCTCATTGCACAAAACGTAAGCATTTCACAGATGTTTATGAGTATTTACCAATTCAACTTGGGTGAAAATAATAACAATTAGTATGCAGAGAAAAGAGTTCCTACTCCTGCTGCTCTTCGGGCATTATGGAGTAGTAGCAACATAGAAGCTAATCAGATATGGATTGTGTTTAATAGCCATAGCAAATGAGATACTTTAGACTGTTATCATACTGTGAACTCATAAAACCTACCTGTTACCTATAATGTAGCCTCTTTTGTGATTCTCCCATGTATTCCATAAGTTGGCATTTTCAAGGATAATTTATGCATTGTTTCAACTTTAGAGAGGCTCCCTGAGGAAATGCCAAGCAATTTATTTATTATC